CAGTTTTAGTAGTTTCTGCATCTCTTTAGATGTTTTCTCTGCTTGTGTCATGAACGGTGATTGTGTGGAGGACCCAAACGCAGAGACCAGTAGGCAGAGGTGAATAAAGCCTGTTTATTCTGGTTCACAGAACCAGGAAATTGGCAGCAGGTGCTTGGCAGGACAGAGAAACAGAGGAAGGGAGGACACAAGAGGGCAGCAGAGGACAACAAATGGATAACAGGAACAATCAGACCAGGACCATGACAGTACCCCCCACCTAAGGGCGGATCCCAGACGCCCTAAAATGTCCAGAAACTAAAAACAACCCACCCAGGGTGGGCGGAGGGGGAATCAGGCACAAAAACAGAACAGAGTCCGAAAATCAAAACAACCCACCCAGGGTGGGCGAGGGAAACAAAAAGTCTCTGGAGACCGGCCGTGGGGCCGGAGCTGAGAGAGACGCTCTGGAGGCCGGCGTCTCCAATGCAGCAGGAACCTAGGAGGAGGACGCCGCCTCCGCTTCAGCAGGATGCGCCGAGGAGGACGCCGCCTCCGCTTCTGTTGCTCTGCAACAGGCTCAGAGGGAGCCGTCGACAGCGGCTCTGGAACAGCCTCAGAGGGAGCCGTCGACTGCGGCTCTGGAACAGCCTCAGACTGGGCCGCCCACCGCGGCTCAGGAACAGGATCAGACGAGGCCGCCCACCGCGCCTCAGGAACAGGATCAGACGAGGCCGCCCACCGCGCCTCAGGAACAGGATCAGACGAGGCCGCCCACCGCGGCTCAGGAACAGGACCAGACGAGGCCGCCCACCGCGCCTCAGGAACAGGATCAGACGAGGCCGCCCACCGCGGCTCAGGAACAGGACCAGACGAGGCCGCCCACCACGGCTCACGAACAGGATCAGACGAGGCCGCCCACTGCGGCTCAGGAACAGGATCAGACGAGGCCTCCCACCGCGGCTCACGAACAGGATCAGACGAGGCCGCCCACCGCGGCTCAGGAACAGGATCAGACGAGGCCGCCCACCGCGCCTCAGGAACAGGATCAGACGAGGCCGCCCACAGCGCCTCAGGAACAGGATCAGACGAGGCCGCCCACCGCGGCTCAGGAACAGGATCAGACGAGGCCGCCCACCGCGCCTCAGGAACAGGATCAGACGAGGCCGCCCACTGCGGCTCAGGAACAGGACCAGACGAGGCCGCCCACTGCGGCTCAGGAACAGGATCAGACTGGGCCGCCCACCGCGGCTCACGAACAGGATCAGACGAGGCCGCCCACCGCGGCTCAGGAATAGGATCAGACGAGGCCGCCCACCGCGCCTCAGGAACAGGATCAGACGAGGCCCCCCACAGCGCCTCAGGAACAGGATCAGACGAGGCCGCCCACCGCGGCTCAGGAACAGGATCAGACGAGGCCGCCCACTGCGGCTCAGGAACAGGACCAGACGAGGCCGCCCACTGCGGCTCAGGAACAGGATCAGACGAGGCCGCCCACCACGGCTCACGAACAGGATCAGACGAGGCCGCCCACTGCGGCTCAGGAACAGGATCAGACGAGGCCGCCCACCGCGGCTCACGAACAGGATCAGACGAGGCCGCCCACCGCGGCTCAGGAACAGGATCAGACGAGGCCGCCCACCGCGCCTCAGGAACAGGATCAGACGAGGCCGCCCACAGCGCCTCAGGAACAGGATCAGACGAGGCCGCCCACCGCGGCTCAGGAACAGGATCAGACGAGGCCGCCCACCGCGCCTCAGGAACAGGATCAGACGAGGCCGCCCACTGCGGCTCAGGAACAGGACCAGACGAGGCCGCCCACTGCGGCTCAGGAACAGGATCAGACTGGGCCGCCCACCGCGGCTCACGAACAGGATCAGACGAGGCCGCCCACCGCGGCTCAGGAATAGGATCAGACGAGGCCGCCCACCGCGCCTCAGGAACAGGATCAGACGAGGCCCCCCACAGCGCCTCAGGAACAGGATCAGACGAGGCCGCCCACCGCGGCTCAGGAACAGGATCAGACGAGGCCGCCCACTGCGGCTCAGGAACAGGATCAGACGAGGCCGCCCACCGCGGCTCAGGAACAGGACCAGACGAGGCCGCCCACCGCGGCTCAGGAACAGGATCAGACGAGGCCGCCCACCGCGGCTCAGGAACAGGACCAGACGAGGCCGCCCACCGCGGCTCAGGAACAGGACCAGACGAGGCCGCCCACTGCGGCTCAGGAACAGGATCAGGCTCGGACGGGGCCGCCCACTGCGGCTCAGGAACAGGTTCAGACGAGGCCGGGGCCGCCCACTGCGGCTCAGGAACAGGATCAGGCTCGGACGGGGCCGCCCGCTGCGGCTCAGGAACAGCCTCCGAAGGGGCCGCCCACTGCGGCACAGGAACCACCATGGAGGGGGCCTTGAAGGCTAGGGGTGCCCGCTGAGGTGCCTTGGAGGCCTGGAGCGCTCGCTTAGGGGCCTTGGAGGCTTGAAGCGCCCGCAGAGGGGCCTTGGAGGCTTGGAGCCCCCGTCGAGGGGCTCTTGGAGCTGATGGCAGTGGCAGGAACAAAAAAAATCTTCTCTCTCCCCATAAAAAAAGCTCCACAGGTCAGACTCCTGTATATGGGGAGGGCTGAGGAGTTCACATGCCTGGTTCTCTGCTGGGTCCATGTTGTTGGCTGGATCCTTCTGTCATGAACGGTGTTTGTGTGGAGGACCCAAACGCAGAGACCAGTAGGCAGAGGTGAATAAAGCCTGTTTATTCTGGTTCACAGAACCAGGGGCAGGAATCAGAGTCCAACAGAAAAACAGCAAACGAACCTGAACCAAGGAGACATCAGGGATAAATCAAACTAGAAGCCAGGGAGAGACGAGACAGGGCAGGCAGATAACAGACAGGAAGCCAGGCGGGATGTTTGACGAGGATCCAGCAAACAGGAGCTGAACAGGGAGGGCTTTTAAAGGAGACAGAGACAGAGAGAGAGCTGACGAGGAAATTGGCAGCAGGTGCTTGGCAGGACAGAGAAACAGAGGAAGGGAGGACACAAGAGGGCAGCAGAGGACAACAAATGGATAACAGGAACAATCAGACCAGGACCATGACAGCTTGATGCATGCCAGTGATTTGACCCTTCTCAAACAGACGAACATCTTTTCCACGGGATGTGTCTTTCCACACGGTAATTTCTGCCCTTTTTGGGCCGATTCTGCGGTCGGGCGAGAATTTATTGGATCTGGGCGAGTTTCAGCTTCATGGTGCGTCCTGCGTCGTGTCGTATACTGGGGGTAACGAGGGGCAGTTAGCCTCTCATGACCTCCTCCCCATCAGGAATCATTCAGGTGTTGGTGGTAAATCCTGCTGTTGAAGCAGAGCTACCAGCCCATTTACCAGAACCTCGCGCTCTGCACATGTGCAAACAAGGGATTCTTCTCTTCTTCTTCCAGATTGACGAGTCCGACCAGCGCCGTCTCTCGGCGGTGAGTCTGATGTGCGGTTTTTGGACGTACAGTTTGAGCTGTAGCTGCGTGCAACGATTGAAAATATGGTGCAGCGTACGCCCGGCTTTAAAGGAGGAGTCTTCTCCAGCCTGGTCAGCTGGTGGGACCCCTGAGGCAGCAAGCAGGTGTGGTGAAGCGCCACGCTGCCCTCTGCTGGGGCCGTCAGAGAGGCAAAAACTCAGTCCTGGAAGGAGTTTGGAGAGTCCATGGATAAAGACTATTAGTCGGCCTGTGAGGAAAACTGGCAAACATCCAGCAGAAGCAGTGCAGGGCTTCCATGGCGGTTAAGAGACCGAGCTCCGTTCATCACCCAGGCTAAAGTCACTGAGGTGGTCAGAAACCCTCCATGGAGGCAAGTCTTCATTGGAGGATGTGATCCACGTGGAGAACCTCAGGTCTCTGGATGCTGCTTTGCTCTGATGGTTGGAGCAGCGCTTCAGAAATCCAGTGGAGGTCTGTGGGACAGCGGCCCTGGATGGGCAGACCGCCATGGTGGATCCCCTCCATGGGAGGGGGGACCAGAGGGTATGTTCCCACTATAGGGGGCCAGACTGGCCAATGCCAGGGTGTGGGAGAGGAGAGGCTGCTGATTGGAGAACCTTGGCTTCAGGAGGAGCAGTGAGGTTCTGGTTCTGGCTGTGGATCAGTGGTGCTCTGCAGGAGGCTCCAGGGTTCATGGGACTTTACCCAACTGGTCCTCAGATGTTTGGTGGACCTGGAGAAAGCATTTGACCGAGTCCCTCTGGGTGTTCCAGGAGTACAGAGTCAGGATCAGTGCTGCTGCTGCTCTAATGCAGACGCTGCATCATCTGCTGTGGTTCAGAGAGCTGAGAGAAAAGGCAAAGCTCTGATTTAGCAGCCGCTCTACATTCCTGCCCTCATCCTCTGGATCAGGACCCAAAGAACCAGATCCTGGATCCAGGCTTCCTCTGCAGGGAGGCTGGGCTCTCCCTCAGAGAGAGGGTGAGGAGCTCAGTCATCAGGGAGAGGCTCAGAGCTGCTGCTCCTCCACATCCAGAGGAGGATCAGACATCTCCTCCTGGACGCCTCCAAGACAGAAAATATCAAATATTTCAACAACTTAAAGCTTTTCTGCAGCAAACATGGAGAAAAGGTGAAACTTGACGTGTTTGGATGGAGTCTGTGTCAGAAGATGACGTCCCTGAACGCATCATCCATCTGTGAGAGATGATAGTGACCAATGAACATCTTTATGTGTCAGAAAAGCCTAAACCTAAACAAAGGTTAACCTAAAATCAGCTTATTAATCAATTCCATGAATTCATCAGATGTTTAAAGCACAGAAACAGAAACATATTTCATTTAGTTTCCTGGGATCTTGTTCTGTTATCACAGCAAATTGACTTTTTAAGATTTAAAACACAATAATGAGTCATAAAGAAGCAACTGGGCTTAATTCTGCTATATTGAGGCTGTGATTAGATCTGTGAAGGGAAGCGATCATTGAGCTGAATAATTGTTTAGCCGTCATTGAAGAGATGGTTTAGGTGACGCCGTCTCTCCTCTCTACAGGAAACCCGCTGCTGCTCAACTCCTCCATGCAGCCGGACATGACAGTGGGGCCGACGTACAGCACGCCGCTCTGCTTCCACGCCGCCGCCGACAAGGAGCTCTTTGACCCCCTGCCGGACATCAAGGTCAAAGTTCAGAGCTCCTTCATGGTGTCCCTGAGTGTGGCCCAACGAGCCGAGTTCCACGCCAAAGCGCCCGGCGAGTCTCACCCGCAGGACCACGGCTGTGATTTCTGTAGCACTGTGGACAAACGCAAGAAAGTCCCGCCGATGCTGAACGGGCCCCTGAGCGCCGGCAGGGAGCAGCTGAGGACCAGCGGCGTGTTCAGCCATGCGGGAGGACGGCTGGTGGTGCCGAACACAGGTGAGCGTTACCTGGAGTGAGATTAAAAGTCAGGATTAGTTAATAATCCGGAGTAAAGAGCAGCTTCAGTCCCATCGGGTCAGTCTCTCTCAGGCTGCACAGACTGAGCATCACAGCCGTCAGGGGGCGGAGCTAGATGGGGGGCCAGGGGTGGCCACCCTTAGCCAATCATTGGCCAACCCTGCAGCCACCATTTTCCCCTCTAATGCAGACGGTGGCAGCAGTAATACTCTCAAGTGGAATATTCAAAACATTTTAACTTTTCATAATAATTATAAAACCAAAACACTGTGTCAGGATTAGGTGTTGGTTTGCGGACCCAAATGCAGAGGCAAGTAGGCAGAGGTGAATTTAGGTGGGTTTAATGACGTTCACAGGAACTGAGTTAGGAATCAAAAAATCCAACAGAAATAACAAACGAACCAGAACCAAGGAGACATCAGGGGAAAACCAAACTCTAGGAGTCAGGGAGAGACGAGGAAAGCAGACAGACGTTAGACGAGGATCCAGCAAACAGGAACTGAAGAGGGAGGCTTTTAAAGGGGACAGAGACAAAGAGAGGGCTAACGAGAGGATTGGAAACAGGTGAAGGCAGAGCAGAAAACAGAGCTAGGGAAAGAGGACACAAGAGGGCAGCAGAGGACAACAAATGGAGAACCAGGAAGTCAGGAACTAACAAGAAAACAACAAAATAATAATTAAACGCTAAAACAAGAAGCAAAGTAAATCTGAATACTCTAAATAAACATAACAAAACCAAGACTGTGACACACTGGTTAATGATGCTCATCAATATACTAACATTAAAGATGATAAGGAGAGAATTCTTTCTCTTTTCACAACTAGATCTTGTGTTTTCTGGTGTAACGAGAAAATGCAAGTCAGTGAAATCAGAGATAAATAATTATTTTCATAAAAACATATTAAATTATGTAGATATTAGTGCTTGTAAATATCGATTTTATGCAGAATGATTATTAATAAAAGTCGGTCAGAAATGACAATAGAAAAGATTTTCAGCCCAGAAGAATTTTATCCACTTTACCTTTAATCTAGAAAGTTTAAATATCTGTTTGTTAGCAAAGGCTGTAGGAAAGTATAGTTAGTCTTATCTTTGGTTTGACTCTGAGGTTCTGGTGTCCACTATCAGCCCCCCCTCAGTGTTCATTGGTTATTGCCTGGCCACCCTTAGAAACATTTTCTAGCTCCGCCTCTGCAGCAGCAGCCAAAGCTCTGTGATAAATGCCGTCTGCTTAGAGACTCTCCTCCAGACTAACAGTTAAAACCTCCTCCAGGTTTTCTAAGCTGCCGTCCTGTTTGGTTCAGTCCCAAACATTCACCAGTCAGTATTTATTGCATTTTATTCATTATTTCCAGTGAATGTGGAACAGAAACATTACGGTCGTTAAAGTATTTCCCTTCAACCTTCCCTCCTCCAAACTAACCCATTCAGATGTCGTTTTTTTATTCTTTGCTTTGGAAGGACGAGCGACTTTTAGGACGATTTAGGGAAGAAATGAAGGGAAGCTTCCATCATCCGCTCACTTGAACATCTCTGCTCCTCTTGCATCGCTGCTGAGAAGCTTTGGATTCATTTTAGCTGCTGTCTCTTCATTTGCATTAAATGAAATAAAAGTGTTTGTTGGGTGCTGAGTGTCAGGCTGTGTGCAGGTTTGTAGAGGAACCAAATGCAGACATGGAAGCTGAGGTGGTTGCAGATTTAATATGGAGTGATGGACACTAGTGAAGGTCCAGCAGCACCGAGGCGTCGCCGCATGCGTCGACCTCTGACAGCAAACGCTGTGTCGCTGCGCGTATCGCTTCAGGAAAGTCACGTGTCCGATAGAGGAGCTGTTTGGAACCGACTGATGCACTAAACTGTGTTTATAAGCACATGGATCAGCCTGGGCTTTGTTCCGTCTCCCATTTATACTCCTGGTGTTCAGCCACTGTTTGCTGCTTCCTCGCCGTTATTCTTTTGTTTTCCCGTCGTCTCTTTGCTCCCCATGTGTGTTCACCCTGATGCTACTGGATTTTTTGGTTCTCAGTCTTTTTTATTTTGGGATTTTTGCCTCTGTTGCCTTGGAAATGTAAATAAATCTACAAAACTCACCTCTGCATTTGGGTCCAAAAACCTCCACTAAACCTGACATGATCTATTGAAACAGAACAGGCCTGTCTGCTCATTTAATAATCAATAAATAGTTATTGATATTAAAGCGTTTACCATCATTTCTGCGTCAGAAACGTGGATTAAACAATGTGATGGAGTGGTGACCTGTCCAGGGTCTCCCTGCCTCCCATCATCCTGATGGACGAGTAGATGGATGGAAACATGGATTCATCACTAAAGGAAAGGATTTTAAGAAGAATAGACTTAAGAAACAGAAGAAGAAGAAGAAGGAGGAGCGGGAGAGACTTCGTGGGAATAAACTGGATGAACAAAAAAATCATTAAAGGTGTTTAAAGCTTGACAGCCTTGGTTGGCAACTTGTTGGAAAATCTGTGAAGAAAACAAAAGAGATGTGATAATGAGCTGCATCACTGGGCTCTATTACAGCCTATAAAGCAGAATAAAGGGATATTTTTACACAATCAAAGGTTATTTTCATCTGTGGTGATTTCACTACTGATCTGCTAAATCTGGGAATTCATGAAATGACAGATAAGTTCTTTAGTTCTGAAATGCTTTATTGGTCTGCAGGGAAATTAGATTAAAACAATAACTAAGAATATAAGATATTTCTCTCCAGGATGGAGTCACAGCCAAACAGGAACAGACCAGATGAAGCTACTATGAGAAAAAGCAGAGAGAGCAGAACGTTAGAGATTGAACTAACAGATTCTGCAGAGTGGGAGAATAGAGATAGAATGAAGCAGAATGATGAAAAAGGGGTCCCTATGTCCTCCAGCAGTCTAAGCCTATAGCAGCAGAACTATAGAGATAGCTCAGGATAACCTGAGCCACTCTAACTAGAAGCTTTATCAAAAAGGAAAGTTTTAAGCCTAGCCTTAAAAGTAGACAGGGTGTCTGCCTCACGGACTAAAACTGGTAGTTGGTTCCACAGGAGAGGAGCCTGAGAACTAAGATGATTCCACAAATACTGAAGACGGAGAACCAAGGAGACCCTCGATGCTTTTAGGCACAGAACTGATTATCTGTAGATTCATAAAATCATAGGAGTCATTTTAGGAGTTTTTATCAGCATATAATCGTATGAATATTATTGTGAGAAATAAAAATATACTGAATGAATAAGAGAAAATTATACTCTATGAAACAATAAAAACATTGTGGGTTAAACTTAGATAATGAAATATAAAGAAAGTTAAAACTTTAGGGGTATCCGGATACAAAAACTATACAAAAGTATATTTACTAGCTTTATTAGAAATGAGAACAAAAAGCAAATAATATTTTATTCAGGACATATTTAATCATGAATAAATGAGTTGGTTTAAATAAACAGATTCTTCTTCCTCCTTCTGTTAAATCCTGTTATGTTTGACTTATTTTATGGCTGTTTCCCTCCTTTTATCGTCACTTTTTACAGCCGATTCCACTGATAACCACTAATAACGACCATTTAATGGTTGATCACATCCAAATCTTTTTTATGTGTTTGTACCTTTCTGTTGTTTTTGTTTCTCGTGTCCCAAATAAATATCTAATCAGAAGAAAAAGTGACAGTTTGGCGAAGGAGAAATGTAATCAGAGAATCTTCCACCTCCCAATGATGCAGCACTTATTGCTGGTCGATGAAATCAAGGCCCAATGAGACGGACAGAAATCTGTGGTCATAACATGACAAAATGTAAAGCTAATGAAAACTTTTGCACGGCTCTGTAAATATAACCAGTGCTGTTAGAAGAAGCATCGGATGTTTACTCAGTGTTTATAAAATGAGATAAAAAATCAGCTCAGAAACGGAGAGAATAACCGTTCAGCTCTGCAGAGTCTGCATCTGATAAGAAGAGGACGTTTAACCAAGAACAGCAGAACAAAGAACATTTTATAACATTACAGACGGCAGAAATGAGACAGTTAAAGGAGTCTATAGCAACTGTTGCAGTTGCCCACAAGGTCAACAGTGTGCTTGACCTGCTGCAGCCTCAGCTCTCTAACTGGGGTTTTTACACGTAGCGCCGCCATCAGCCGCCTTTCAGGGACCTAATGAAATCAGCCTCCTGCAGACGACTTTCATGCTGAGGATCTGAGTGGAGGAGTCACTGCTGCCGAGTCAAGCACTCACACTGCGAGTCTGCAGGGACGGCTCTTCATTAGCCTGGATGGCACAGCGCCACACACGGCGCTTCACTGCAGATTACTGAAGCCATCTTCATAATCAGCATCTCTCACATCGCTGCAGCTTCGCTTTGAGATACAGCCTGTCAAACAGAAGCTTGGTGCTTCATCCCATCACAGCAGCAGACGACCAAACCACAGTCTGAAGGATTGAATTACATTTAAATTAGAATAACGTTTTAAAAAATTGACAAGCAGCTTCCCTCCTCGAATTTATGTCCTAATTATTCCACAGACCTCACACTGAACATTTTCTGCAAGTAGAACGACTTTCTATCAAAGAAACGGCTCCTGTGTGATTTCAGAGGCTCAGAGACTTTAATGGAGAAAAGAAATCATTTCAAAATAAAGTTTGAATAAATGATCATAGAGATCAGGCATTGAGCTGACCTCAGCGACTCACTGAGAGAAAATAAGGATCCATTCATTATCCTGCTACATGAGGAGGAGGAGGATGATGATGGTGATGATGATGATGATGAAGGTAGATGAAATGACTAGTTTAAAGAAAACAAAAATAATCAAAGCCTAATAGTCGGTTTAACTGGCTGCTTAGATTGTCCAAGATAGGCCAGATGTTAATACATTCACTAATGTCCGTTTTGGAATAGCAGCAGGTATGATGAGAACCACAGTGCAATTAAAATAACAATTAAGATTAAAATGATAAATGGTTAGAATGCATTAAGAACAGCGGCAGAAGTCGCTTTAGCAAACGGCATCCTCAACGTGGGTCCTCAACCACGTGGTTGAATGTGGCAAACTCTATAACTACTTTAAAACAGAACAGGGAGGAAGCAGGATAGGAAAGAGAAGAAGAAAGAAAGATCACTTGCAGCTTTTCACTGCACACTTATTTCAACCAATGAACCAGAGATTTTATAACCAACACAGATTAAAATCAGCATTAATTTAAACTTCTAACTTCCTGTCTCTCTCTCCTGGAGCACAGCACCTCATTAATGCATGAAAAAGAAAAAAGGACAGATAGGACGGAATGTGTTGTCTTCTTAATTCAGAGGGCCCCCTGCCTGCCTTTGCCTAGGGCCCCACATTTCCTAAATCCGCCCCTGTTCAGGATAGTGTTACTTCAGTAAAATGAAAGTTTGCTGCAGTTAGACGACTCCTTAAAGTAACGTTATGGTCAAAGATTTACTCCAGTAGATGTAACTACTTATTGCTCATCTCTGCTTAGTTTAAAGTTCTCTCCAAATCTCACCCTGATAGGAGTCTGGATCAATGGGACAGCGTCTACAGTAAAGCTGACCTATATGGGTCCTGCGCTGTCAGGCAGCCATGTTCCTGGATGTTAACACACGCTTGTGTCTGTGTATCCTTGCAGGAGTCAGCCTCCTGGTGCCTCATGGAGCCGTGGCTGAAAATAGGTCCTGGGAGATGCACATGGTCATCAATCAGGGGGATGCAAGGTGAGTTTACCCAAATATCATTTCAAGCATCTGTCTGTCAGTCGCTGGGAATCACATCATCCATCTGCCCTGAGGCTGCGTCCTTATTGGCCGCCTTTCCAGGCCTTTCCAGGCCTTTCCTTTGAACTACAGCTGCATTCTTTGCTCCAGTCGTTACCTCTCAGGGCTCAGTTATCTCCCTGAAACCCAGAAAGTTTAATGCGCTCTGCGATCGGTGGCTTTATTAGCCCAGAATTAGATGTTAGCTTTGCAGCGTCAGAGAAATGTGATTAATGAGCTTGATGAGCCTGTTTTGTTTTTGGAATTAGACAGAATTTTCTGGATGGATTCCAATTAACCCTTTATAAGGCCCTCAGCTAAATACTTTGTAAATTAACATTTCCAGCCAATAGTGTTTATGGAATCCAGGACCGTATTACCTTTGTAATATTCAAAAAATATGGAGATTTTGAAGGCAACAATGAATATCAATGTAATAAGAAACGCCAACTTGACCGAATATATTAAGAAAAATAATTCTAATAAATCTATTCAACCTGACAGATTTTTTTCACAGATTGCACTATATGTCCTTTGTTAATGGTTTAGCTATCAGGCTGTTTAATAAACATCGTAGATATTATCAATTCAAGAGGAAAGTAAAAAAAAAAAACAGTTGCAGCATTTCATGAAGGTGTTCTTGGTAGATTTTAGCACATAAACCAGTTTTCTGATGATGTTCAGCTCTTTTAATCTGTTCAGCTTCAGAGGAGCTGTGTCAGCTCAGAAAAATGCTTTGTCATGTTAGACAGGCAGGTTTTAATCGCATTGCTGTGACACGCGCTGATGACACGGCCGTTCCAGTGCGCTGCAAAGGTCAAATAGAATTACACTACTTTCAGAAACTCTTCCCTCCCTTCAGATTCTTTAAGGCTTTGATTTTTGCAAACTTATCTGGCTTAGAATAAAAAAGAGATGTAATAGAGAGATGTAACATGCAGGCGTCTAATGATGTCTGGTTGAGGGAAGGATTTGAGGACCCAAATGCAGAGGCAGGGAGGCGGAGGTGATTTCTTAAAGATTTAATTGAATGTTTATAAGCAACTGAAGCAGGAATCCAAAAATCCAACATAAAAATGTAAAACAAACCAGAACCATGGAGACGTCAGGGAAAACGAGCACGAAGAGCCGAGGAAAGACGAGGAACCAGCACTGAGGAACTGCACAGGGAGGGTTTATATAGGAGACTGAACAAAGACGGGACTAATGAGCCGATTGGGAGCAGGTGTGAACAGAGGATTCTAGAAGGAAGCGAGGGAAAAGGAGACCAACACCAGAGGGCAGCAGAGAGCAGAACCCTGACATTGATTAGCAACCAGCCGTTAGGATCATGTTTAGATTTATCCTAGAAAACTGTTTGATCATTTTAAAATGTTTAAACATTTGAAAAAAAGCAGAAACAGGAAACCTGTTAGGAGCAAATCATAATTTCCCCATAGAGCTGCTGGTGGGCAGTAGAACCCCCCAGGATTCCAGGACCATCTCTGTCCTCTGAGGCTGCAGCCCATCCAATGGGGGCTCATTTCCTCAAGTCACAGGTCTGTGCTTTGATTTCCAAGCTTCCTGGGAGGAATTTGAGTTCAATCTCAGCCAGCATGGGGGGGGGGGTTCACCATCATTCACTCATCTGACTTTGCTGTAGGAAGTCTAACATCCAGTCCTCCACTCTCTATTGCACGGCTCTGAGTGTCAATATGTAGTTATCTCCTCCTCTTGGTGTCAACAATGGCCCTCCTGGGGGGGAGTCACGACCCACAGAGCTTGTTTAAACCATGATGAATGCAGAGATGAACCGATGGACACAGACGTCTCCCCGGCTCTTTCATCTCGGCGCTGCATCCATTATGAATTCTGTCCACGGCTAGATAATGACCCTTGGATGGACTGAGCTCCTCTGCAGGGAAGGTGGGGGGGAGGGTTTAGCACTCACGCTCCCCACAGAGAGCCAGGAGAAGTCCCTCTGAAGTGTCACCGTTTATTCACAATCCTCCTCTTGAGTGAAAAGGAAAGAAGAGCCACGTTAGCGGGAGTAACGACGGCGCTGCGGCTCGTCTCAGCGCCGCCGCTAAATATAAAGACACACCGAGCAAAGGGACGATTACAGAGCATCTGACTGGAATGATCTATGAGCCGTAATCCACAACCATTCTATAGATCCTGGATCTAGAATAGAGACAGAGCGGAGCACCAAGCAGCTGAAGCCTCGTCTGCAGTAGAGCTCAGTTTAACTGTAAATACGTTCCTATTTAACCAAATATAGTCTAAATATGTCTGTTATATGTGGATTTAGCCTGTTTTTATTTGAAGATATAGAATTGTGCAGAAGTAAACCCCAATATTGATCTAATCTGCTCTCTCTGTATCGAGCATAATAATACATTAAAGGGAAATAAATGTATTTTATTTATATGAGCAGTGGAACTAGAAGAGGAACTGAGACTGAGCATTTAAAATATTAACTTCACTAAACAAGTTGAACATCTGGGCTGTAGTTAGTCTGTGTCGCCCATTTCATGTATTTTATCTATGGATGAAACATTTAATCATATTAATCTATTATTTAAATAATCAACTAATTTAGTAATTGATTCATCGTTAACTGGAGTATAGGGCCATGAAAATGTGACTTTTATACTAAGATTGTAAAAAATGTGTAAACAATTTGCATTTAAGATAAGAAAAAAAAAGTTTTTGACTGTCAATATTCTGCATCCAGAAATCCTTTCGAGGAGATGTTTCTGTTTCACCTGGTTTAATTTCGTAAAAAAATGTCAGTTTAAATTAGAGTGTTATTCTGGTCTGATATTAAGTTGGTCCCAATTCTAAGAAGCATGGCCACAGATCAAAGCAACATGAAATTAGTTTGATCCATGAACAGATTTTAAGGCAGATTTCAGCACGACTTTTACTTTTTATTCAAACATTGGCTTCTAATTTTATGACTATTTGCTTTTTTTATGACTCAACACTAAACAGCTCTGTGAATCATTCAGTTTAATAAAACCTTGAAGGAGGAGTTGCCTTTTGCTTTTGTATTTACAAGAAAACGAAACCAGGCACAAGGCAACACAGTGTCATGAAGCGGGGACAGATGGACCCAGCATTCAAGGAGAAAGTCAGCAGGCAAGTTCTAAACGTTTATTAAACGAAGAACAAAACTAAAAGGGGAGCTGCTAGGATCTGTGGCATGCAGCGACAGCAGGTGGGGGGCGGGGCACCGCCCAATCACAGAAACTCTGTTGTGGGAGAAACACAGGTAAGTGACCACGATCATCAGACAGAAGATGATTATCTGAGTTGGTCACTTACCCAGTTTAACAGCCCAGACCACGAATGTCCCTCAGTGCTGCAGTCCCAGAGGTGATGCTGGAAGCCGATCCTGGTCAGGGATTCAGAAACAGGAACAGACAGAACAGGCAGGTTTCAGGCCTCCAGGCCTCGTAGAGCTCCCAGGCAGGTTCAGGGTCCAGCAGGGTCCGGAAGCGAGACCAGGTGGTCACGCACAGGAGCAGACAGAATCAGATGCAGATGAGCAGGCTCAGTGGAAGAAGGTAGCCGAGACAGGACGTGGAACCAGAACTTGATGCAGGACCTTTAAACTGGTCTCCACCTTGGAGCCAGGCTTACTGAGATAAAAACTGAACCTCCCCGCGGATAGAGCCAAAAACCCAGAGGACTCAGCAGGGGAGGAACAGTGGACGATCAGGAGACGAGACACAAAACCCCGGTGAACAATACCTCCTTAATGACCGACTCGTAACAATCATAGACAGGTTTAAGGTATTACAGGAGTCAATCCCCACCTTAACGGCAATCCTCCCCCTTTAACGACCGACCCTCAGAATCATAGACAGGTTTCAGTTATTACCGGCTAACGATGGAACCAAACCCATTCATCGGTTACCATTTGCATGTTTCCAAGCAATACAAGGCCTTGTCTGTATAAGACTCAAACTCACTGCGGATCCAGACATTTTGAATTGATGAAAGCTCCCTGGAGAGGTGGAGAAACATCTTCAAATCTGGGAAACCAAGTCCAGTGGATATTTTTTGAATTTTTACGGAATGACTATGACCTGGATGACTGAGAACCTTCATCAGCAAAACCCTCCTTCCACTGGCCGCCAGGATCCAGGACATGAACCTTGGAATAAACAGAACGGACAGACTAGCAGAAAAAAAAAATTTATTTGGCCCCGAATTCTCAGGTTGAACAGAATATAAACCAAAGGAAACAGGTGAGAGGAATAAATGATAATTGAGGCAGGGAGGGAAAACGACAGGTGAAAGAAATAAGCAATTAAGGGAGAGCAAACAGGCCAGATCATGACACACAGTTTACGATAAAATTGTAGTTTTTAACAACAAGCTGAATCCAAAGACTGTCTGTCAGGTTTCATGGCAGGTTTTCAGCTGAAAGCTTTTTTTTTTTTCTGAAATCAAGCCTAACTTGCAGCCAGGGATTAATCTATGGAGACATAACAACAATAAAGAAAGTAGACAAAAATGAAAACCAAAACACAAAGCCTGAACTGGAGAACAACTAAGCGACAGAAAGCAGAGCATCCATAGTGGCCTGCTGTCACATTTCCTTTTGGAGGTTCTTATTATCTCAGTCAGACTGTAGGAGCTGTTTGCTGTTGCTTCTTGTAGAAACTTTCTTTGCTCTCTGGTGGTTTTCTTCCTCCTGGCTGTCAGCACCTGTCTACATGTTGCCAGGCTACAAAGGAAGAAGCTAAAGCATCAAGCCCTGCTCCCTTCCTGACCTGCTCTACTTTCTACCTGTTCCTGCACTATTTACCTTCAGGCTGTTAAAGGATTAAATGCCAACTTAAACTTTTAAAACAGAATACTTAGTCCAGATATTATTCTCTTCTCCTTTAAAATCATTTCAATTATTGATGTAAAGATAAAAGCTTTAATCTACAGGCAGAAACTGTTTGCCTTTGCATGTTAGTTTA